TCTTTCCCTTTGACAAGCAGCATGATTTTTTTCAAGCAGCATGACTACTTGGTCCTTGTCCGTATCTGAAAAATATATACACAGATAATGCTGCAGTTAATAATGTTGTGATTCTACTGAAAGGAGTTTCTTCCTTTGTGATGTTATTTAGGACCACTTTGCATCCTCATTCATCCATTCATTCATTCATGTATTCCCTCCTCAGATAAGCGTCTAGAAACAAGTAAGGTGTGGAATGAGACTGAAATCAAACAGGACTCTGGAGCTCTCCTGGGTACAAAAGCCCCTCAATGTCCCCTGTTTCTTGTTTGTAGGGGAAAAAAAAAAAGTTTTGAGTCTTCTAGGCCTTCCCCAAGTTCCAAAGAGCAGGTTCAAGCAGTTAATAGGCTAATATAGTCACAAGACTCCTAGTTCCTCCTGAAGGGCTATAGATAACAATCTGATACACATCTCTCAGTTCTACAGAAACTAAGATCCACCCACCCAGGTGGATGATATTGACCACCTGCTGACCACAAGCATGTAGACCCCAGACTAGCTGGAACCAGAAGGTTGAGACTCCGGAGACATCGCCCTGTTACTTCACCACCAACCAATCAGAAGAAAGTCACACAACCTGAAGCCCTCATTCCAAATTCTGCCTTTAATTCTTCCCCCAAGACTATTGGGGAGTTCAGGTCTTTTGAGCAGCTCGTGGCCCACTCTCCTTGCTTGGCGTCCTGCAATAAACCTTCCTGCACTCCAAATTCCTCACTGGTGTCGGGCACACAAACTTGGCTTCGACCATAAGACCCCTACATGCAGGAGCCAATATTTAGCCAGTAACCCCAGGAAGGCCACTTGCAGCTAGTGTCAGTTGTGACTGGCTTCACCTGTAACTTGCAGGGTGTTAAATATTTGGACGGTTTTCTCTGCCTATCTGCCAGGGTAATCCGCATGTGTGTCCCCTAGGGCTCTCAACTGGAATTGGCACTGCCTCAGGCTGTGAAGCAGGGTGGGGCCTGGACTGAGCCTGGTTGTCAGGACACAGGGACTCAGATCTGGCCCTGCTACAGTCCTTGCGCACCACACGTTCCCTGGGAATCTGTTTCTCCACAGTAAAATCAACATACGGCCTGGTACCACTTTCGCAAAAGAAAACAGTATGTGTCCATGAGCCTGGGTTCACACAAGGAGACATGTCTGGAAGGATATATACCCACCTGATCACAGAGGTTATTTGTGGGGAATAGAACTGGGTGAAGGAGGACCTTTTCACTTTATCTAATCTCTTGACTCTTCATTTTCCATAACAATCATTTGTTGTGATTTTTAAAAGTGAATAGCTAGAAAAGTCCTATTTGTTCCTGTTTTGCAGGAAGTCACACTTTTTATCCCTGGTCCCTGGGCCTTGACGTCTGACTCAAGGCTGTCCTGCCTGTGTGTTCCTTACACTGCCTCTGAACAACTGGCGGATGTGAGTGCTGAGCACTGTTTGACCCTCTTAACCCCCGAGTCTCAGCCAGGGCTGCCCAGGGCTGGTAACAAAACATCCTCACGATTTTCCTTGCCCTCCTCTTGCTGGCAACTGATCCACGTCAGCAAAGGCTTAGCCACCATTCAACCAAAGCATGCTTATCTTCTCTTGTATCCACTGCCATAAAATATCCACAAACCTGCCCAAGGTCCTGGGAAAGAGCTATCACCCAACGTGATAAATTTCCAGTTGCTTTGAATTTATGACTTGAGGTGTTTGTTCCTAAGTCACAAGCGCGGAATGTGGGAAAGCAGTGTGATTACTTGTCCCTGTCATAGGAAGATACACCGAGGGGGGGTGGAAAGCTTTACTGCTTTCCCAGAGAACAGGAATTTGCTTCTCTAGCAAATTCTCCATCCTAAACTACCTTAGGATAAATAAATGACACTTTTTGATCAAAGAATTGCAAACACAGAGATCAGAGGGAACCACACGGTGGTAGACTTTGGATTCAGACCAACTTGGGTGCGAATTCAGACCTTCAACAAGTCACTTAACCCATTTCACTGAATGAACACCCTATTTTGTGCCAGGCAACTTGATGGGCATCTCACATCCAATAGCTCAAGCCTGAAGAGCTTTGTATTGCTTTCATCATGTAACAGATGAGGGAAGTGGGACTCAGAGAAGAAAGCCATGCTAGTGGGAGGGCTCAGCTGCTGCAATGACGGAGCCCAGACTCCAATTCAGATCTTGAGATGTCAAGGCCAGTACCTATTCTTCCAGAAAGTACTGTCTCTCCCATACATGATGGGGAGAAAAGACCTCTGCCCCAACCACACCACTGCAAACAGGTGTAACCAGGAGTGATACCACAGGGTTCGGTGATCCCACATGCCCTTTCCAGGAGCCTTTTTTTTTTTTTTTTTTTTTGCGGTACGTGGGCCTCTCACTGTTGTGGCCCCTCCCGTTGCGGAGCACAGGCTCCGGACGCGCAGGCTCAGCGGCCGTGGCTCACGGGCCCAGCCGCTCCCCGGCACGT